CTTCTATGAATGCGAAACCACTTCTATTTTTTTGACCCTGATATTCCCCGGGGTCCATCACATCCTAGGGAGTAGATAACACATTTGTTGAATGAATGAATGAAATGACAGCTCTTTATTTACTGGTGGTGCTGCTACTATGTGAAATCCTGCATTTCCCTTCACTTTTGAATACTTTATATCTATACCTTCCTCATATTTGCTAAGCAGGGTCTTTATAATAAAGGCACATCACTCTGAATTATCAATATTGACCATGAGGAAAGATCATTGTGGCTTCCAGCAAAAGTACCGGGAGTGCCTTAATCTGCAAGAGAGCTCTCAAGTGGTTACTGGCTGGGATTTCTTATGATGGTCCCAGAAGAAGATAAAATGAGGCATTTGCGGACAAATATCTGAGCTTTCGAAAATGACCTCTCTCTATTCCATTCTTCCACTTACCCACCCACACATCATCCAGGAAATAACTCCTGAGTGTCTAATATGTGCCAGGCTGTATGCCAGGCCCTGAGGATACAGTGGAAGCAAAACCACCATGCTTCCTGAGTTGTGGATGGTCTTGTAAGAGAGCTGGACATTAAGCAAATCCTCACACAAATAAATGTATTATTATAATAAGCTGAGATATGTGCTATGAAGGGATAGTAAATGATACTATGAGAGCAACAAATAGTGAGAAAACAAAGATTTTTTTCAAAAAATGAAATCTGCAACTGCACCAAAAATACTTAGGAATCAATTAGAAAAGATATGCAAAAGCTCTATGCTGAACATTAGAAAGCACTGCTGAGAGAAATTAAATTCCTAAGCAAATGGAGAGAGACATCATGTTCATAGATTGGAAAGCTCAATATTGTTCCAGCGTTGATGGTCCCAAACTGATCTATGGATCCAACACAATCCCAATCACAATCACAGCAGGCATTTTTGTAGAAATTGATTTATGTGGAAATGCAAATGGCCTAGAAAAGCCAAAGCAATTTTGGAAAAGAAGAACAAAGCTGGAGGACTTATACCACCCAATTTCAAGACTTATTATTAAAACTACAATGATCAAGACTGTGTGGAAATGGTGGAAGGAAAGACATAAAGATCATTAGAGCAGAAAAGAGATAAGACCAACTTATATGCATACAATAGATTCATTTTTAGTTAAGGTGCTTAGGCAATTTCATGAGGAAAGGAAAGTCTGGATTAGGTAGGTAGGTAAAGATTTCTCGGGATGTAAAAGCACAAACCATAATAGAAAGACTAGATAAACTAAACCTTATCGAAATTCAAAACCTTTGTTCTTCAAGAGACAATTAAGAAAGTGGAAAGACAAGTAACAGGGTAAGAGAAAATATTTATAATACATATATATATATAACAGATGACTAGTACCCAGAACATAATAAAGAACTCTCAAAATTTATGAAAATAATCCAGTTTTTTTTAAATGAGCAAAAGGCTTGAACAGACACTTCACAAAAGAAGATACAAAAATAGCCAGGAAGTACTTGAAAAGATGCTCCACATCAATAGTTGGCAGGGAAATGCAAATCAGAACCACAACGATATCCCACAACACACAGATCAGGATGCCTAAAACGGAAAGACTAACCAACAGCAAGTGTTAACAAGGATGTGGAGCAACAGGAACGCTCGTACATTGCTGATGCGAATGAAAAGGGTACAGCCAGCTTGGAAAACTGGCAGGTCCTTCAAAAGTTAAACAAAATATTTTCCGTACCACCTAGCCAATACACTCCCAGGTATTTGCCCAAGAGAGATGAAAACATATTCACACAAAGACCTAAATGACAATACACATAGCAGCTTTATTTACAAGAGCCAAAAACTGAAAGAAATCTAAATGTCTATCATTAGGTGAATGGATGAATGAAACATAAAACATTCTAAAACACAACACTATTCAGCAATAGAAAAGATGCTAGGAGAATATATAATAAGGGACTCTAACTCAGTCTAGGGGGTCAGGGAGGGCTTTCTGAAGGAAGAGGTGGATACCTGAAAGAAGACTAGGGATTAACTGGGGAGGCTGGAGCGGGTAATGAGAAGTAGAGAGCATTTCAGGCGCCCTTGGCGGTGGTACATTCACAGAAGTGAAAGATGGTCTCGCTTAGGGAGCAAGGAGAGAGAAGGCTGTTGTGAGTTAAGGCTGGAAGTTGGCAAGGGCAATGCCAGGCCAGCCCTAGAGGCCTTGTTAAGAGTTTTGATACTCATCCTAAAAGCAACAGGAAGCCTCTGACATGGTTTTAAACAAGAGAGTAGTATAACTGACTTGACATTTTGAAGACTATCCCACTAACTGCAGTATGGGAAACTGACTTTCAGGAGAGTGAGTGGCTGTGAGGGAGCTGGTCATGGCCTGCTAATAGACAATGGTGGCTGACACTGAGATGGGAAGATGGAGATGCAGGGAGATGGACAAATCTGTGATGCATTTGAGAAGTATGTTGGGCTGCATCCGGAGCATAAGGAAGAAGATGGCGTTAAGACTGATTTTTTAGGATTGACTCTGAGATTATGACTCAGGGATGGAATGGGAAGAGATCCTATTCTCCAACATGGAGAATTCTGGAAGAAGGCTTAGTTTGGTGGAGAATGTCTAAAGTCAATTCCAGACACAATGAATTTGAGGTGCCTGGGAGACGTCCAAACAGATATGTCTACCAGGCCATTGGGCATGTGGATGTGAAAGCTCACAGAAGCCCAGGGCAGGGCTCCAAAATTGGATGTAGTGAAGATGGGAATTCATGCTGTAGAAGTAGATGCAATAGATTGGAGAGAGAGCATAGGATGAGGATAGGAAAGACCCTAGAACCAAGTCTTAAGGAACTCCAACGTTTAGAGGATGAGCAGGAGAAGGTGAGCCAGCAAAGGAAATTACGGAGTGACCAATGAAAAGGCAGGGAAACCAGAAGAGCACAACATATCAGAATATGTGGAAAGAGAATGTTTTAAGAAGGGTGTGGAAACTGTGTTGAATGTTAATCAAATAGGAAGAAAATGTCTTCTATTTCTTCTATAGGTCTTTTCAATCAAAATGTCTTCTATAGAAGTGAACTGAGTAACACAGAGTCACTGCTAATCAGATAAGAGTCTATGGAAAAACAGGGATGTAATCCAGATTTGTGTGAACTGAGGGGTGACTACTGAGGAATAAGGAAGCGGAGAAAGTAACTGTATGGAACTTTAGATAATAATGGGTCTAATTTCCTATTATAATAAACTGGGTGATGAGGACAGAAAATTGAACTTGAAAGAGATTGTGAAAGATATCGCTTTTATGAAAGCTCACCCCATGAATTCAGCTGGAGGCTGCATTTCTTTTTCCTGTGGCATAGGTGGGCATCGTGAATCATGAATTCAAAATTTTCCTTTCTCATGCTACCTCCATAACCACCGTGAACGTGGAGAAGGGGCTTTATGGAGGAACTTCAACGTAGGTAACACACAACAGTGATATGAGAAAGGCATGGGGGGTGCGGGGAAAGGAGAGGCAGAGATAAAGAAGCAGTCCTAATTCCTCAACACCTGTTTTCCAGTAAGTTTCCATTTTGCAATTAAATCCCAATCCTGTGAATATTTATAGAAAATCATAAAAGCCAAATGACATAAATAAATTTGGTAGCAAGCGACAGAGAATGGTCTCTTGCCTAGTTCCCCGGTTAATCTGGGAAGTACAGCTGTATGCTGGGGGAAGGAAACAAATGAAAAGATAGAACTCTTCAGTTCTAAAGGAGAGTAGAGCTGAAAAGAAAGAAAATCTAAATATTAAGATACCCAGACCCTGGGACTCTAGGCTACAAAACGAATGGCTGATTGACTGAATGAATGAATGAATGAAGAAGCAAACAGTATGGGAATAAGTGTAATAAGTGTAAGTCCCAGGAAAAGAGCGAAGAGTCTCTGAGTGGGGATCAGGCCCCAGATGGCAAAACTGAGGCCCATTCCCCAGGTCAAGAGGAAAACATGTTCTGACTGTCTTTGTTTCTTCAAGTGTGTGTTTCAAGAAAGGACTCTGAGGAGCTTCTAACCTGGAGCAACACAGGTCAGAGAGGGAGAGATTGTGAGAAAAGGACGAGGATGGCTCAGGAAGAGGGAATGCACGGGGGAAGGAAGTGCAGCCGAGCACCGTTTGCCTGCAAAGAGCCACACAGGCGCTGAGACCCAGGAGGCCTTTTCTCAAGTCAGATGGCACGTCTGGATATTCAGCCTCTGGACAGTCTACCAAGTGGCTCACTCTCTATGAAGCTGTCCAACAGGATTGGGAGGAGGGACCACTGGCACGGGCACTAAAGCACCCGCACGGCTTTACATGTACTATCTCAGGGACTCGTCACAGAAATCCTGGGGTGTAAGTATTCTCATCCTCACTTGACTGAAAAGGAAACTAAAGTTCAGAAAATTGATCTGCCCTGAGGTCACAATGAAGGGACTTGGATCTGAGCCACATCTGAGTGACTCTAAATCCTGTGCTATTTCTACCACCACGAGACACAGGCTAGGAGAAAGCAATCTGCTTCAACTGGAAGGGCAAAAGAAACTCGTTAAAGTCAGAGGGCAGGAAACTATACAGAAAGGGGAAAGCTGAAGAATAAAATGAAGTAGAAAATCCTTTCTGAGAGTGAGTAGAACTTACAGAAAAAATCACCTAGAAAAGAGAAGATGAGATGATCTGACTTGAGAAATGGGAAAAATGCCTGGGATTGAAAAAAACACTCAGGAACTAAGGGCAGAAAACCTGGGTTTGGAAATCAGAATGAGCATCTCTAAGGGGAGAATAAAGATGCCAGAGCCCTTTCCTTTGGGTTTGAGAGGAGACAGCGCTCAGTTACTGACCTTCCTCTCCCAGGTCATGTGACTTGGGCTTGTATAAAAGCTTTCTGCCAGCCAGGTTCCTTACAAGTTTTTCCTGTGTGAAATGGGCAGTAGCAGTGGCTAAAGCTCTGTTCCTCTTTTCCAGGAGCTTTCAGACTTTCCTTCAGGACAAATCCCAAGGAGCCATCTATCCGGAACAAAGACAAGGCAAGGCTGCTAGCTTAGTGCTTGCGCTCTGGGAAGTGATGCCGGGATCAGAACTGGAGGGGAAATGTTGGGGGGAGCTGGAGGAAGTCTGCTGGAAACCAAATGCAAAGATCATATCCACAGACAGAGCCAGCGGGGGCAAGGAAACGCGGACCAGCCCCTAAGCCTGGAGAGAGGATGGAGGGGCCTGACTGTGTGTGGGCAGCGAGGGTCACAAACCAAGTGGAAACCAAGTTACCCCATTAAGAAGAATTCCTCTGTTTATTGTCAAAACACCAGGCTCAGGAGCCAGTTACCACCTGTGTTCTTCTCTGAACATTCTCTGGAGTCTTTTGGGGGACCAGCCCCAAAGGACCGTGTTTCACTAGGCTCCCCTTTTCAATACAGCCCCAGGGTCAGTACTGGACAGGGGAGGCAAAGGTGGAGGAGCGCCTTCGTTCCGCAAAAGGAGAGGAAAGCAGGTAGGGAGATGGGCTGGGGGCTGGGCACCTGCTTCCTGGGCGGGCAGCGGGGTCCTGAGGAGAAACCAGCGCAGGGTGGCCCGGCCTGGGTTTTCACAGCCTGAGTTCTCCTGAGAGGCGTCTTACAGCTCCCTCCTCGCTGTGGTGAGGCTTGCCTTTTCTCTCTGCAGGTCTCTGACTGAGGAAACGGCTTAAGAAAGTTCGAAACGGAAAACAGTAACTTCCTGTGTCTGTGAGGAGAGGAGAGAGGCTGGGAAAACCGGAGGGGGAATTCCCTTGGGAAGCCAAGGGTTGGTCTCCCCAGAGACACAGGATGGCAAATGTAATAACCACTGCTTAATATCCCGCCCCAGGCAAAGTCAATAATTGCTCTGGGCAGTTCTGGCAGGTGGTGTGAGCAAGCAGTAGTAACAGCAGAAAGCCATGACCTGGGGAAAGGACAGCGCCTGGGAGGATGTCCGCAGACTGACCCAGAGGAGGGTCTGCAGACTGTGCGTGGGGCCTCCTGACCCTGCCCTCTCTCACCCTCTTCCAGAACAGTCATGCCCAACTTGCACAACTCCTTGATCCTCGCAGCCTATATCGTCATCTTCTTCATCGGTCTCCCTGCCAACCTCCTGGCCCTGCGGGCCTTCGTGGGGCGGGTCCGCCAGCCTAACCCTGCCCCCATCCACATCCTCCTGCTCAGCCTGACGCTGGCGGACCTCCTGCTGCTGCTGCTGCTGCCCTTTAAGATCATCGAGGCGGCATCTGACTTCCGCTGGTATCTGCCCAAGCTGGTCTGCGCCCTCATGGGCTTCGGCTTCTACAGCAGCACCTACTGCAGCACGTGGCTCCTGGCGGGCATCAGCCTGGAGCGCTACCTGGGAGTGGCCTTCCCCGTGCGGTACAAGCTGTCCCGCCGGCCCCTGTACGGGGTCATTGCTGTGCTGGTCGCCTGGACCTTGTCGTTTGGTCACTGCACCGTCGTGATCATCGTTCAGTACTTGAACTCAACCCAGAGGGCCACAGATGTGAGCGAGACTACCTGCTATGTGAACTTCACCCGAGAGCAGCTGCGCCTGGTGCTTCCTGTGCGGCTGGAGCTGTGCCTCGTCCTCTTCTTCATCCCCATGGTGGTCACCATCTTCTGCTACTGGCGCTTTGTGTGGATCATGCTCACCCAGCCCCATGTGGGGACCCAGAGGCGGCGCCGAGCGGTGGGGCTGGCTGTCGTTTCGCTCCTTAATTTCCTGGTGTGCTTCGGGCCCTATAACATCTCCCACCTGGTGGGGTTTCACATGAAGGAAAGCCCCAAATGGCGGGCGGAAGCTGTGGTATTCAGTTCCCTCAATGCCGGTCTGGACCCCCTGCTTTTCTATTTCTCTTCTTCGGTCGTGCGCAGGACCTTTGGGAAAGGGCTGCAGGCACTGCGGCATCAGGGCTCCTCCCTGCTGGGACGCAGAGGCAGGCAGACAGCAGAGGTGGCGGTGGCGAATGGGGACAGGGCTGTGAGTCAAGCAGAAGGAGGGCCAAGTTCTGACTTCACCACGGACTAGGGATGTCCCTGGATGAGTTGAGCAGGCCGGAAGAGGGAGAGCGTGAGGGTTCCTGTCTCAGATTCAGGAATCCTCAGACCCAATCCGATGCTGGGACTGTCAAAATCTGTCTCACTGGTTTGGTATCCCTTCCTGTCTGAATTTTCCTTCCCAAAGGAACACAGCTCCAAGACTAAAGAAGAAAATGGTTGGGCCTAGAAGCACTATCAGACCAGAGTTTCAGAAGCAATGTAGGTAATACGAATTCAGTCATTGTGAGGTGGTCAGGAGCTGAAGGAGAGAGTCCTAACGCAATCTCTTGCTAAACACCACCCACACACTGGCCTAGCTGTTGGGGCTGGAAAGAAGCCAACGGGAAAGAGATGGAAGAGAAATAGAAAAGGAGGTCAAAGAAGATGTAGGAAGGTTGTGAACCAAGGGGACTAGGAGGGAGGACTGGGGCTCAGACCTCTAATGATCTAGGTGTGGACGGTGTCCATCTGACCCGCTGCTTTGTAAGTATGATCCAGTCGTCACCGTGTGTGTGTGTTTTGTCACCCCCATTAATCTGGGAGCCACCTGAGGTCTGGGTCTTATCTTCTCCCTCCATGGTGCCACCCACAGGTCAGAATCCAGCCTGGCACCCATCAGTTAGAGGCCATCACTGACTAGCACAGGAAAAGACAGTCTGGGGTGGCAGATTGAAAATAAAGAGTATAAAACACTGAAGAGAGTGTCCACAATTTTTGTAACATTTTTGCAAGCAAAAGGAGGGCAAAAATGGGATAGAGAACCAGACCCTGCAGCAAAGGGAGAGGACGGTGCATCTGAAACCACAGAAATATGTTAAGATAAAGACGTGGAGTAAGTGAGTCATGGAGTAAGTACTGATGGACTCCTGTTTAGACTGATGAATAGAGATTGGACTCAGAAAGAGGATGAGGTGAGTCCTGGCTCAAAGCTATCAATGTATCACAGGGACTTAAAACATTTTACCCTCCCACTTAGAAACCTGCAGAGTTTTCCTATCATCAAAAGTTTTCCTCCCAAGAACTCAAATCGTATCATCTCATTGCCAGCTTTGTATCCTCTCTTCCTTCCCAGTTCCACTTGCCTAACTCATTTCTCCGCAGTAAGCACCCCTAGACCGCGTTCTCTACTTAATAGGCCCTCCAGCACCTACCCTAGTGGTTTGCACCAGAGGCTACACATCAGAATATCACACAAACGTATAAAAATAATACAGATGGCCACCCTAACCCTACTGACTTGGAATCTCTGAGGGTGCCGCCCAGCAGACGAGCTTTAAAAAGCAGCCCACGTGATTATGCTAGGCAGCTGAGGTCAGGAATCACCAGCCTAGTTCAGGGGCCCGATCTGTCCAAGAAATTATTCTTCAGAGACCTTCCCTACTTTTAAGTCCCCCTCACCTAAACCCCACATGGCTCCATCTTCCGATTGCTTACTTTTTCCCCTCTTGCAAAACCACACTCAATAGTCACTTTCTCCAGAAAGGCTTCCTTTCTTACTCCCACTCAACTGAGAGCTCATTTTCTGTTTCCCTTCCTCAAAACAACACCGGACTGGTGTCTTAAGAGCACTGAGTTCAGTGTTGATTACTAACTGGATGACCTTGAGCAAGTCACAACCTCCAGCCTCCGTTTCCAAACCATAATAATGAGGATACTGCATGCCTCTCAGGGTTATTCTGAGAAGTCAAATGAGACTGCGTAGATTAAATTGTTGGGAAATTACAGTGGTATTTAGCTCTAAGATATCAACCCATCTGAACACAGACGTACTCCCACTTAAAAGAAACGTAGTAAGCAGAAATTTTAAATAATGGAAATACCATATTAGATGGTCAACTACATAGGATGGTTTGACAGTAATGTATAAAAAAAAATCTGTGATTTTCAGCTGACTGTGAGCTTCCTATGCATCTGTGATATATTACACCTTCCCCCCCAAAAAGCTGATTTGATTTTGGTGGGGGCATTAAAAGAAACAGAGTGCAAACAAGCTGATGATAATCTCACTGTGCTGGGGATAAGCAGCAGCATGCCGAGCGCTAAGCAGCACATTTGTAAAAAGGACGTGAACTTAAAAAGAATCAAGCCCCTAAATTGACCAAATGTTTTGGAGATTTAAAACCTAATAATAATAATTATAACAATAACAATACACATTAAGTGCCAGGCACTGTTCTAGGGAAGAAGCCTGAGACAATTAAGGGCACTTTCCAAGGTCAATAGTGCGAGGGAGTTTGAATCCAGGTCTTCCGGATTCCAAAGTGCCTGCTTTTTTCACTGGCATATAAGAAGCCAGTAAGAGAAGGCTGAACACATGGCTGGAACAAGATAAGGTTCATTTTATAGAAGACGCGTTCTCTGCAGCCCCAAAGAGAAGAACAGGGACCATGGGCCAAAGCAGCAGGGGGTTCCATCTTCAACAGCCAGGGCTCAGCAAGGTAATCACTCCCGGTCTCCAGGAATATTGAGGTAGAAGATACAAAACACTCAACTTGGGACGTGGAGGAAGCTCACGCATCTGATTAGGGCTGAACCAGTGAACTGCCAGACCCCTTCCAACTCGGAGAGTCCCACCATTTTAGGGACCAGGTTGTGCCTGCTCAAAAGTGCAAGAAAACTTCCAGACCTGGTCTGAGACTTTCAGGGTGAAGCTTTAGTTACTCACCAACAAGTATTTGATCTTCATCAAGTCACTTTCTTTACTGGGAAATTAGTAATTCACTTGCTCAACAAACAGGTATTGGTTTTTATCTACTTATCTGCTAAAAGCCAGATACTTTCCTAGGCGCTGAGGATGCAGATTGTATGAGAGACAAGGTACCTGCCCTCCTGGGACTTCCATTCTAGTGGGGAAAAAATCGTTAATAAACAAGTAAACAAACAACAAGGTAATTTCAGAATGTGGACCAAAATAGGGATACGGAAGAAAGCATAAAGAGGGGTTGAGAAGTTTTAGAAGATTCTCCTGAGGCAATGGTGGTCAGCTGAGATCTGAACAATGAGAAAGAGTTGCATACAAATGCCCAAGGGAAAAGCATTCTAGAAACAGGAACCACTGGTGCAAAAGCCCTGGAGGAGGGAGAAAACCTGAGCATCTCAGGGGCAGAGAGGCGGCCAGTGTGGTGCTAGAGCAGCGGTCTGCAAACTCATACATGTATTAGGATCACATGGAGGATTTGCTGAAGCACAGATTGCAGTCTTCCCTCCGAACAGTTTCAGAATCAATAGGTCTGGCACAGGACCCAAGAGTTTGTATTTCCAACAATCCCAGGGGATACCGATGCTGGTGGTTCAGGGGTCGCACTTTGAGAACCACTGGGCTGGAAAACTGTGAATGGGAAGAGAGTGAAAGAAGAAGTCAAGGAAGTCGGCAGGGACCGGACCATGCAAAGTGTTTTACGCCCCAAAGAGAAGAATGAATTTATCCCAAGAGCTTCTGAAGCCATTTGAGGATTTTACGCAGGAGAGTGAAATAATCTGATTTCCATTTTAGGATGATCACTCTGGTATCTGTGCCCACCACTAAAGGGAGATGGTTGTTAGGATCAAGGAGATAATATGCACAGCAGAGTTAAGAGCCATAAAGTAAGGAGCAAACACGGAGGGTTTTCATCAGGCTGGTAGCTCCCTGAAAGTGGGGGCTATTTCTTCTTTCATTAGAACTGGCCGACCAAGAACCAAATAGCCAGGAGGGGGCCTTATAAGTTACCATGCATCTATTTGATAAATAGATGTCCCCAGTGTGTGCCGGCAATGTTTAACAAACAGTTCTTGGGATGGGGGTTCGGGGGCTGAGGGCAGAGGGTAGCACAGGTCCTGACCTGCAGCACCTGCCAACTTCGATGGCATACATCCCCCTCCAGGGTCAGTTTCTATCCATGTGAAGACCCTGAACATGGGTTTGGCCAGCCATGCTAATAAACCACACTTCTAAGCGAGCTCAAGCACATCGCTGGAGGCACCTCCCAGCACACAGGCACAACCAGCAGGCGGATCACAACCTACCTGAGAAAACTTTCTCTCTCCCTGGCTACATATAGTTCAGGGCTCTGGCACAGGACTTTTGACACTGAATAAACACGAGCTAAATGTGGCTGGCTGGGCCTGACCCAAGAGGATCTGGGTGGCTGCTTAGATTGTGGGACTCCTCTGAATCCCCTGCAGGATGACAGATGGGTAAACAGAAATATTAGTGCCTGGTTAATGAGTAACACAGACAGCAGCCCAGAGCCGCTACCAGGAAACAGGGGTGGAGGGAGCTGGCTGAGGCTGCCCCCGGGGTGGGGGTGGGGGGCCACCATCAGGAAATGAGAACCCTGCATTGCCTATTTCACTTCCCCTTTCTGGAAAAGATGCTGGTGTGCCCCTTCCTCAGAAATTCTCATCTGATGACACAGCCTGAGCTCCCATGCAGTGTGGTTTTGTGGGGGACACTGTGGTCGGAGAAGGCAGGCATGGGTGGGCCTGGAGAGAGGGGCTGAAGGCAAACACGTGGCCGAGATTTCAACTCCACTCCCTTTAACTTTCCTGCCCCCTCCCTCCAGGTTTCTGTTAGTTCTCTCTCCTTCTCTCTCCCTCCCTCTCTGTCTTTTTTTCAGCTTTCTCTACCTCCTGTGGTTAAATACTTCTGCCCCATTTTTTTCCATTTCATTTGTTTCTCTGATCACAGGAAATGACATTTCTCATCTACAAGTTGCACATTCAACCAGGAAATTGGGCCAAAGATCTCTAAGCCCTCAGACACTGTAGTCCAGTAACCCACTTGGTAAAGTTTCGAGCGTCTGATGAGGCAGAAGATGTGAGGTGGTGGAGGTGGGGAGCCAACAACGGCTGCGGTCAACTGTCCACCAGCAGCTTACCCAAGGAGGGACTGGCCACGGCTCTAGTCTAACCTCAGGCTCCCTCTCCCCAAACATTGTCCCCTGCCATCTGTTGCCCAAGCTACACTGGCCTCAAGGAAACAGTGTTAGGAAAGTAAATATACTACTCCCAAAGCTAGATGTTTTAAATAAAAAGCCCATACTCGTGTACAGCAGTCTAGAATTTCTGAAATGCCATGGCAGACATTAGATCATCATACGTAGGCATTCATTCATCCACAAAGCTCTGTGCAGGCCTACTATGTGTCAGGTCCTGCTCTAGGTGCTACAGACACAGCTGCGAACAAGGACAAGACCCCTGCTCTCACGCCGTCCAAGTTCCAGTGGGAGAGGCAGACAGGGAGAAAATAGACACTCTGGGGTGGTGCTAAGGGCTGTCAGTAAGACAGAGTCAGGGGCAGGCAATGACCTTGAGCAATGGATGAGTGGCTTGGGAAGGCTGCTTGAAGGTGACATTTGAGATGCAAATGTCCGGAATGACAAGAAGGAATCATGCAAGCCAAGAATGGAGGCAGGGAACAAGAGTCCGAGCAAAGGGTTCAAGGCAAGCGCAAGGCTTGAACAAGTTGAATTTGCACAAGGAACTGAAAGGCCAGGGTGACTGGGGCTGAGTGATGGTGGAGAGACAGGCAAGGGTCGGATCATAGGGGGCCTCGAGGTTTGTGATTGGAGGCACAGCACAAATCTTTCCCCTGCTTAACAACAAGGGCAACTGAGGCTCAGAGATGTCAAGTGACCGTGTGTCAGTCTTCATAAAGACGGTCTTCTGACCCCTGGACCCTGGTGTGG